CGCAGCCCCTTACAAAAGGCGTCTGGATGGGCTTCATTCCCCAGCCCCTAGCACACACTAGCCCTACATAAGCGTTGAGGGAGGGAGGGATGGCCAGATGGATGGACAGACGGCATGACGGACCTTGTCTGGATTCGAGTTCTGCCTTCTCGTGACCTTGGCCAGCCTTGGAGGCCGCCAACTCCTGAAACCCTTCCTGTGTTCCAGGTGTCAGAGAGGGGTGTGGCGATAGCTGAAAGCGGGCTGGCCAGCACCCCCAAACTCCTGGCTCCCTGCTGTGTTCCCGAGGTTCTTGTCCATGGCTGGCAGTATGTGGGGTGGGAGGGGCTGGGCTGTTGGTGGGTCTCAGTCTGGGGAGGGCAGGAAGGGGCACAGGGTGCTAGGGTCACCTTGCCCAGCTCCCTGCTGCTGATGTTCCCAGAGGGACCCTGAACCCCTCCCCCAGGCAGTGGAGGGGGCCCATTGTCCCGTAGCTGGGCCTCTGGGCCTCCTTTCTTGCCCCCGCTCCCACCCAGGGGCGCCCTTGCCCTCTCCTGGGGCACTGGGCACCAGAGAGGGAGAAGACCACTTTCTGAGTGCCTCCTAGGGGGTGGCTTCCCTCACTTTCCCTCTCTCCGTGGCTGGCTAGAGCTAAGGGCCCACCATGCTGGGATTCCCAAGCTGAGGGCTTGGGGTGGCAGTGTGCTTGTCACATTGCCTAAGCATCGCGGTCCCCCAGGCAACAACCTCTGAGCCTCAGTTTCTCAGTCTGTAAAATGAGGGTACAAGGTTCCCGCGTTCCCAGGGCTGTGGGAGGTTGAGCCAGGATGGGTGACCGCTCTGCCCCTGGTGCCTGCCTCGCTCTGGGCATTGGGGCGTCCAGGGCGGGGAGGCCGGTCTACCGGCCAGCGTGGCCCGGTGGGGGACACTGCGGTGTGGCATCGGAGGGGAGAGCAGAGCTTACCTGTGGTTTCTTTTTCAGTTCAAGGTGAAATTCATACTGTGGGCAATTGGCCATTTGAAAGTGTATGATAGAGTACTAAACAGTGCCTTTGTCATGGGCAATCACCACCTGTCTGGTTTCTAAATTAAAATTTGATTTTAGGGGCGCCTGGGTGGCTCAGTCAGTGAAGCATCCAACTCTTGGTTTTGGCTCAGGTCATGGTCCTCACAGTCGGTGGATCGAGCCCCGTGTCTGGCTCTGTGCTCATTGCAGAGTCGGCTTCAGAGTCTCTCTCCCTCTCCCAACTGCTTGTGCTATCTCTCTCTCAAATGAGTAAGTAAATAGAAAGTAAAGCTTTAAAAAATAATAATAAAAATAGGGGCGCCTGGGTGGCTCAGTCGTTAAGCGTCTGCCTTCGGCTCAGGTCATGATCCCAGGGTCCTGGGATCGAGCCCCGCATCGGGCTCCCTGCTCGGGGGGAAGCCTGTTTCTCCCTCTCCCACTCCCCCTGCTTGTGTTCCCTCTCTCGCTGTCTCTCTCTCTGTCAAATAAATAAATAAAATCTAAAAAAAAAATAAAAATAAAAATAAAATTTGATTTTAAGGAAGGGCAGATGGAATTTGGGTAGAGGAAGCGGTCCCTCTCAGACCCTGACCTTGAGCAGTCGCTCTGCTTCTCTGAGCCCCAGGGTTTGTCCCTGTAACTGGAGTAAAAACGTTAGCCCAGCATTGCCTGGCACTTCACAGAAGCATTTCACAAATCACCTTTTACTCTGTGATCCACTTCACGCGGCCTGGGGAAATTCAGAAACGTGCCCAAAGTCACAGAGCAAGTGGGCGCTGGAGCCGGGGTTGGTCTTCCTGTCGTCCCTGGGGACCCCTCTGTCACCTCCCTTCCCATGGTGGAGGGACTGGGGAGTCAGAGGCCCCATCCCTGCCCCCCCTCCGGTTTCTGGCAGGGAGGAGCCTTCGCGGACTGTGGCTAAAGGAAGTCTAAATTAATTAAAATTTAATAAAATTAAAGATGTGTTTCCTCACCAACCACACTTAAGTGTTCTGCGGCCACAAGTGGCCAGTGGCTGTTGTAGGGTCCACGCAGACATGGAGTGTGCGTCCGACACTGTTGGTTATGGGGCCAGTTACCTGTTGTGAACGGGGCACTTGCGGGAACACTCTGGCGGGTGCCCTGGTGGCCCTCCCGTGGCCGCCCCGACTGCTGGGCTCCGGGGTCCAGCTCTGCTCCCGGCCCAGCGCCCTGTGACCTGAGATTGTCGGGTGTCGTCAGGCCGACAAGAAGAGTCCATAAATGACACGTGTGGCAGTGAAGCAGTTTAAGCACAGGTGATGGCGGGCGCCTGTCCGTGTTGGGGGAGTGTTCGCCGTTACTCTTCGGAAGGATGGTCATTTGTGCGTTGTGGGTCGCTGGTGTTAGCGTCCCAGGCGTCCAGAGCAGGTGGCACCTCTAGCCACCAGGGGGCAGCCTGGGACCAGGGTGGGGGCAGGCCTGGCGCTCAGCGGAGCTGGGAGGGAGCGAGACCCCTCCGCCCTCAGGCTGTGCGGGAGGATTTCCAGCCAAGTCCAGGGAGAGTCCAGTGGGTCCCCAGGGGTGGGTGTGAGGAGCAGCAGGGCTGTGGAGCTAGACTTTGAGAAGAGCACCGGGTTTGCTGGGGTGGGGGCGGGGCTTCACAAAGCCTCCTGGAGACCCTGGTGGCGCGGGGCCCATCCCCCACCCCAGGGAGCCCAGGCCGCATGGCCTGGGATGGCGCGCGGTGTCCTCAGGGGTCAGGGGCTGTACCTACACTCTCTCCTAATCCTGACATGTGTCTATCTGCCTTGGCCCTGAGGGGATTAGAAACAATGCTCGCGTCTCCGTCCAAAAGTTGACACCTGCTGTGTGCCCAGGCACGTCCTGGGCACTGGATGTGGCAGGAAGTGAGGCTGACGGAGGGATTGACATTACCAAGTGCCACTGGTGGAGGCTTGGATGCAGTGGCCGGGACGGCCCCACCGAAGGTGGAAGCGAGCCGGGCGGGGTCCTCAGGGAGACCTGGGGCCTGGTTTGACGTTGCGCAGAGCTGCGAACCTGCGGTCTGGGAGCGGCGCACGCTGGCCCGCGGTCTTTCCGGGGCACCAGCATCCCGGCCGGACCCGGGGAAGGGAGTTTGTGCACCGTTGAGCCCCTGTGGCGGGCGGGAGCCGTTGGTGGCATCCGGGCACCAACGCCCCACCAGGCCTCGGGTGCTGCTGGGCGGGTTTCACAAGCCTGGGCAGGGGCAGGCCTGGGCCACCCGGCTTCCGTGCGGCCCGGGGCAGGAAGAGCTGGTGGCTGATGTAAGCCCTTGCGCAAACCTCTGGCGGCTGGCTTCCGGAGCCTTCTACCCGCCTGCGTGCCAAGGAGGAAGCCTGGGGCCTAGTGGGGCCCAGAGGCCCTGCCGCCCAGGCTGGGGCCACATGGGTGTACTGACCGGCCACCATGGCCCTGGGTCCCGAAGGCTTGGCTCTGGAGTCTGGTGAGGGGGCTGGGTGAGGCTGGGCTGGAGCGTGGGGGGCTCCCCAGACACGGGGTGCTGGTGATGGCGCATGTGGCCAGAAGGTGTCCCCCTCCTGCCTGCTGCAGTCTCCACTCCGGAGGCCCAAGGCGGAGGCCCTGCCCCTTGCAGCCTTGGTTTCCCCGCGTGCACCCCAAAGGGAGTGGCTGGACATTCTGGCATCGGGTGCCCCCGGGAGGTAGTGAGTGAGCACCTGTTGTACACAGACCTGCATACCGGGCTGTTGGGGACCCAGAGGTAGGACAGGGCTCTGTGAGCCCCCTGTGGGCTGGGCCCCCCGGAGTCACTTCTCTGGGTCACTGCAGACAGTACCCGCTTCACGGGGATGTGGAGACGGTAGCCCGAGGGGGCACACGGAGAAGCCCTTAGCTCCCGCTGGCCAGAGCGGGCTCCTGCCGGGTGCTTGGTGACTCTCATGCTCAGCTCTGTGTGCAGGCCTCTGCCCCTCCTCCTGGGGGCGTTGGGAGAGGGTTCGGAATCCCCACAGACTGTGGGCTGCTGCCGTGTTGTTACTCTCGTTCAATTCATGCTTCCCTCTTTGCTACAGTTCTTAAGTATTCCCATCTTGCAGATGAGCTAACTGAGGCCAGGGAAGGGAGGTCCCCTGCCCAAATATCAGAGGCCTCCCTCTAGCCCGTGACCTGGAGGTCTGCTGGGATCTTCCCCTGAATCTTGAGGATCTTGAGGGCCAGAGCCCCTGGGTGGCCACAGTGAGGGAGCGTCCCTCCTGGCGTGGGCCTGGCCAAGTGGGGCGTGGCAGGGGTAGGTTTTCCACCCAGGCCCCCAGCACATTGTTCTCCCCGGCAGCGGCTGGCCACCGCACCCCCCATCTGAGGGACCTCGGGTGGGAGGCCCAGGGCTCTCCTCCTTGTGCTCTTGCCAATTCGCTGTAGCCCTGGGATGTTTGCTGGGTGTGTATTCCCGGTCGTGGCTCACTGGCTGTGGGACCAGTCACTTCCCAGCCCCCAGCATCAGCTTCCTCATGCCTTAAATGGGCGCATGGTTCCTTCCGCACCAGGCTTGCTGAGGCTGGCCGAGGACAACTCCTCAGAACTCAGCAGGGCTGCTGTGGGGTCCTCAAGGAGGTCATTCTCTGACTCGTGGGATCCTCCCTGATCCAGGCGCTCAGAGCATGAGCAGGGGTTTAGACCCTGAGCCCCCCACCTCCTCGCTCTGTGGCCTCAGGAGGTCCCTGCCCCCAACTGTGCCTCAGCTTTCATCAGCAGGTTGGGGGGACCGTCCCCTCCTGCCGAGCGCTGGGTGCCCTGGAGGTGAGGGCCTTCGATGGTGGTGGGCTTCCTTTTGGCTGTTCCTCTGGGGGCTGCACTTGCAGGTTTTTCAAGTACTGGGTCTGGCTGAGGTGACAGGCCTGTCCTGAGCCCGAGGGTCTGGGGTGGGGCGGAAAGGTTTCTTTGGTGTTCCTGCCAGTGTCAGCTCCAAGAAGTGGGGGGAGACGTGGGGAGCGCGGGGTATTGGGCCGGGCAGTGGGGGCCTGGTGGGTGCCTGACAGCCCCCCCCTTCTCTCTGCAGGCGAGGCCTTCTTGGGCAGCTTTGTGGCCAGCGGGATGGGGCCCTCAGCCTCGTCCCATGGGAGCCCCGTGCCCCTGCCCTCTGACCTCTCCTTCCGCTCCCCTACCCCCAGCAACCTGCCTATGGTGCAGCTATGGGCCGCTCATGCCCATGAAGGTAAGGAGTGTGCCAGGTGGGCGGGGCTGAGGGCTGTGGGCCACTGTCCCTGGCACCTCTCCATCCTGCCCACTCCCTTCCACCTCTGGTCATCTCTCCTGCGGTGGTTGGAGGTGGGGGGCAAGCCCTGGTCGTTCAGCCTCCCTGCTGTTTCTCAAATGCTCAGTGCTTCCTCTGGTCACTGCCACAGGGCCTTTGCACAAGTCGGTTCCCTCTGCTGCAGCTCCTAACTTAACCCACTGTTCGTCCTTTAGGGCTCAGCTGACCCGCCTCCCCCCGGCCACCTCTCACTTGTGAAGACAGATTATTTTCTTACCAGAGTGAGCTCTGAGGGCAGGACTTAGTTTGTTCTGCTCACCGCTGTCTCCCTGGGGGCCCTCCATAATCACTGTTGGAGCAACGGGACCAGGGCCATAGGGCTCTCCTTGGCAGTTCTTCAGTGGTGCTCGTAAATGTGGGCGTCTGGGAGCCTTGCAAATCCTGGACCTCCCTGGAGCCTCACTTTTCCCTCTGTCAGTGAAGAGATAGGCCTGGGGGACCCTGAGCTCCTTCCCCGCCTCTGGGTGGCCTTTGGATGCTGGGTCCTGGGAGCACCCACTGCAGGCTGAGGGCTTTCCTGGGCTTTTCACGGCTCACTGTCTGCCCACGTCCTCCTCTGTGCCCGAGTCTCTCCAAGTACCCGTCATCATGTGTACCTCCCATGGAGGGGGTGGACCTGCCTCTTTAGGCCCGGGATGGTGGGCAGTCCTTTGGGGCTGGGGTCCCATTTGAGCCTCCCACTTTAGCCAGCCAGGGCGGGGCTGGAGAGGCCTGAAGAACAGACGCTGCCTGGTGTCTCCGTGCCACCAGCTTGTGCCTCTGCCCTGACTCCTTTTTCTCCCGTGTTGCAAACAGCAGTAATGTAGGAACGGTTACAAACCCGTGCACGCACTGCACAGCTGGACTCAGCGTGTCCCCATGACCAGCTGTGAGAGGGGGACTGCTAGGTCTCTTCCAGACGAGAAAGCACAGGGATCCCATGCGATGTTTCCAGGGCTGAAAGAGATCATGTGCATCAGGTGGTCTTGGTTATTCGGTGATTGTTGTTAACGCCATTATCAGGTGGTGCTGTGGGAGGAGCATGGGTCCTGTGTGGCCAGGGACAGGCCCTGGATCTCTGGCCTCAGAGGGAGCCACTGGGGGCGTGGGACCTGTGTCTCAAGGACCTCCGATAGGCCCGTGGTCCGGGAGGACCTTCCCCCACACCTGCCTGCTCGCCAGCCCGCCTGCCTTTCTGGGCCCTGCTGTGCGGCTCTTTGGGCCTCCATTCCCCATGGGCCCTCAGAGGAGTCTCATTTCTTTCTCTGTGGCTACCCTCCCGTCTTCTCTGTCCCACGAAGCCCTGATTGTGGGCAGCACTGGTGGGGAGAGACTAGGAGGATCCTCACCAGGAGGCATTCCTTCCTGGCCTGGGAGACCTGGCAGCTGCAGATGCTGGGTGCGCTGATATTCAGAGCAGGTGAGTGACCTGCTCGGGCTCACACAGCAGAGAAGGGACTCATTAAATCAGTAAACTGCTCCACTGGGTCTGTGTTGGGCTGAGGTTAACAGTCCCAGTGACTTCCATTCAAAGTCAGGCTCCTCTGCTGTGTGACTTTGGGCCAGTGGTCCTCCCTGAGCCTCTGTTTTCTCACCTATAAAGTGAGGATGTTAAGAGTATCTGCCTCAACAGGCTTTTGTTTTGTTGAAGTTTAAATGAGAATAGCAAAGGCAAAGCAGTGGGCAGCGTTTGGCCTGTGGTTAAGATGTCCTCACCATCCCCTGCCTCGTTGGATCCATTCTGATCCTCTTTCTGGGGGATTTGAGAGCCCAAGCCCCTGGGGGCTGCCTGGGCCTGGAGGGAGGCCTGAAGTGCCAGGTCTGGAGGGGGTGGGGGCAGGCCTGCCCTGGGTGGCTGGCCGCAAATCTCAGGGCTCCCTGAACCAGGGGGCTGACAGCTAAAATATTTTATTCTCAAGAAAAAGAGAGGGATGGAAGGAAGTTCCTCGTGGGAGTCCATGCGGTGGGACAGTTCAGTTTTTCTCTTCTCTCTTCCAGGCTTCTCCCATCTGCCCAGCGGGCTGTACCCATCCTACCTCCACCTGAACCACCTGGAGCCCCCCAGCAGCGGGAGCCCCCTCCTCAGCCAGCTGGGCCAGCCCAGCATTTTCGATACCCAGAAAGGTATGATGAGGGGGCAGGAGCGGGGAGACTGGGCTTGGGGGGTCACTTCTGAGGGGTTTGTCTGGGGCCCCCACCACTACCCAGTATTTCAGGCAGCACCTAGCTCTGTTCTCTTGAGACCCCTGCCCCTAAGCCCTGCCCCTAGCCTTCTGGTGCCTTCTAGTTGTGCTGTGCTCCCGCCTGACCCTCTTAGGCCCTTAAAACAACCCTGGCCTCCACCCTTTTCACAGGTGACGAAACTGAGGCTCAGGAAGGTTAGTCAATGGCCAGGACGAGAGGTTGTGAATTCGGCACCCTCTGTTTCCAGAGTCTGCCCTCCTTCTTGGCCTGGGGGTTACCGGGAGCCCCTCCGGGACCCCGCTTCTGGCTGGCCGGGTGGAGGGGGCACGCGCTCACGCCCAGACTCTCTCTTTCCCCCAGACGGCTTCTACCTGCCCGCCCCGGGGGCTCCGGGCGCCCTGCACTCTCACGCGCCCTCCTCCAGGACCCCGGGCGGCCACTCCTCCAGCGCCCCGGCCAAAGGCTCTTCGCGGGAAGGTCCAGCCAAGGAGCGGGCGGGCCGCGGCGGGGAGCCGCCCCCGCTGTTCGGCAAGAAGGACCCGAGGGCC